TGTTCAGCTTTCAATTAAATTAAGTGATTTTCTCTTTCCTTCCTTCCTTGCAATATCTAAAGTGTTTTTATTTTATCATATTTTCAAAGTCAAGTACTTTGAACTCTTGCTGCAGTCATAGTCGGCTTAATTATATGAATCTGTTTTAACAATGCGATTGCTTTTTCTTTCTACAGCATGTGTTGTGGCGCATAATGAGAAAGTCGAAGTTCGAGGGCCGGTGATGTTGTTGTTAACGATTGCGGTGTCAGATGCTTGTTTGCCAGATTGTCTGTGGCATCATCCCTTGTAACCTTTTTTATGGTCATGTGGGAAGACATCAGAGGTGCTCGGTCTGGAACATTTCTGAGGCACTGTGCTCTGCATCATTGGAAACATGATATATCATGCCAGATCATTATCACTAAATTATTATCGCAGATGCATAACAGGAGTGATTACTGTGAACAAACTTGACCGTATTTGGTTTCGCGGTAGCACCAGAGGGTAATGGCCACGCTAATTATGTCATGCTGTTGCTGTCATCATTATCATAATCACAAATACAGTCATCCGCTGGAGCACGACCACTATCGTCATCATCATTATGGGATTTGTTTGTGTGGGGAAAAAATCTGACATCCTTTAGATTATTCTCTTTTTTATCAACACAGCCATTCAGATGTGAGCAACAATCAAAGGTTTGTCTTAAGATATGAATGAAACAATTAGCCATTCTGAGTATTAAGATGTCTTCATTGTTTTCTCCTTTGGGGTGTTTACTAAATCTTTCTGTCAAACCCTCAGCCACAGTAAATCATCTAACGAGGAGCCATTCTGTTCTTTCCACGTCTTCCATGTCAAACATTTTGCCTTTACGTTCTTCAAGTCATAAAATGTGTTTCTAAGAAGTGACTGTAATTCATCAGTAGGTCATTTTGACAGGATTATGAGGTCATTTCTGATATCAACGTTGTATCTCATTTAAGATTTTTATTTTCTCTTGTTTCAATTAACCATACCCTCCCTTCCCCCACTATGAACTATTACGTGCAGCAGTGAATAGGAAATGAGGCATCTATGTTTAAAAGTCTGCTAAAGCTACATAAATAATCAAAGAATGCATGTGCAGTCTCGTGATCAGAAGTATATTGCTCATAACCATTCCCACATGGGATCTGCACATGCAGAACTCAGATTTGAAAAAAGTAAATACTTTGGGTTATTCTATATATATTTTAGCTAACAATACAAGAGTCATTTAACAGATGTACCATATTAAATGAACTAAAATGCGTTTAGAAGTCTACAGATTTTCTTTTAACTCCATATACACGTGCACGCTATGCACAGAATCTCTTCTGCTGTCTTTAAAGACATTCTTAGCTGCATTCTGCACTAATGGAAATGTAATCATAGTCCTCACACAGAGGAAATGTGTTTGCTCACATGCACCATTTACATGCACTTGAAGTCAAATGTCTATAATAAATGTTAGCGTTCAGCATATAAATTGTTTAAGCCTTAGTCGGAGGAAATATTGCTTTCGATAGAGCAAATGTTTTGAAAAAGAAAATAATTTGAGGAGCACTAAATCTTGACTGGCTAAAATCACAAGTAAAAATAGCAGCATTATTAAAGCTGGTGTTAGTATATACTGTGTAGACTTTTTTATGTTGAAATACTTTCTCATATAGCAGTTAATATACACTGACATCCAAAAGTAAGCCAGTCGTAGGCTGATGCACCTGAAAAGTAAACACTGTGACTCAATGGTGTAATCAAAACTTGACTTTTTTTATATAAACATCGCAAGCTGACATAACACGGGCTACACTTGTGATATGAGTTTGTGGGCAGAACTATACATTTGTTTGGCCAATGGCAGACAGGGACAGGGCTGAAAAAGTAACTACGGCTGCTTTCCATAAAAGTTTTCACTTGGAAGTGCCTTTTGAAGGTGATCTTATAGTATGTGACATGCAGTTCTGATCAGACCTTGTACTCAGATTTGTACTCATCCATCCCCCTTTAAGTATGCATAATATTAATTCTACTATATTTCTAGTTGTTGATTTTTTTAAGAAAAAAAAAACATTCAATTCAACTAATAAAGTTGTTTGTACTTATCATACAACAGTAGATACAATTTCTTACTTGCAATAATAGTCGAAATTATCCAGCTGTAACTGATGAAAGTTATGCATTTACTTTTGCTGGAAAACAAGAATATAATAATTATCTGTTGCCATATAAATACACCTGCGTTTCTTAAAAATAACTTAAAAGTAAAGGTTCTTCATTGGCATAAGTGGCTTTAAGAAGAACCTTTAAAGGGGTGGTCCACTACGATGTCATATTTTAAATTTTAGTTCATGTGTAAGATGTGTGAACATCATCTGTGACAACATCTCTGAATGTAATACGCTCAAAGTTCAATGCAAAGGTAGACATTGACTTTTACAGAGCTAGCTTAGTAAAGCCAGCGAACGAAATTTAGGGACTAAAAAAAAATACATCTAGGCTAGTAAGATCACAAACCCTTTAGGTTACACGCATACATCCGACCCCCGTAGCTTTTTATGATTTTTTTGCGATTAAAATAACAAGTTAATAAAAAAGTTTGCGAATAAAAATGTATATATAAATGTAAAAACTATATATTAGGTTGCCTACCATGTTATGTGTGCAATCTGAAACAATGACAATGACACAAATCATAAAAATAAAGTTTCTTTATTTTGATCAATTGTATAGACAAGATGTAAAACAGATCTAAAACGGTAGGGATTAAGCCAAAGGAAGGTTGTACTATTCTTATTTTTATCCACGATCTTACTTTTTCTCACATTTCACTCCCCGGAGCATCTGACATGGCCACACATAGGACATGCGTTAGGGCTTCCCCTACCGTAATACACCTAAAACACATTTTCTCTTGTTAACTGCTGGGAAAGAGATAAACTGAATAATTTATCAACTTGACACACTTGACACACACCATAATACCAGCCAAACATGTAAAGCACAAAGACCCTTCAATTCGGTCACATCCAGTGGCATCTCATCTTCAACTGTCTGTTGCACTGCTCCGTTTGCTTGGGCACAAAACACCCAATTCGCGTCACAAGATGTCCATCATCTTTGCTATGACTACACATGTAAATCACTTGCGCTTCATCTGTGTCTCCTTACTGCTTACTGCTTAAGTTGAAAACTCCCCTGCCCCCATTTCATGTAATGTAGAGATTGTGAGGGCGCAGATGAAACGTCATTTGTCAAGAAACACTCAAATGTATCATCATGTGTTCTGCGTATGCAACATCTATAGATCATGTAAAACAATTAATTGCAAACTGAAATAAATATAATTTGATTATGTGGTTTGGAATTATGAGATAATTGACATTTTTGTGATTATTTTGCATTTAAATTAAGAATTTAGCAAAAATGTGCGACTTTTTGTTAATTTTGCATTGGATTCAGCAATTACGGAATTGCGAAAAAACTAAGGGGTCTAATTCACCACGTGCATACAGTATACCCTGCGCAGCAAAGGGATGTGGCCAGTGGCTCTGTAATGTTATAGCAGCGAAAGCTAAAATGCCGTCCAAATGCTGCTATTTCCACAGAGCTTGATCCGTTTCTGTATTTGGGGCTTCCAAAGGACATGACACAAAGACAGAAGTAATTACAATATATTTTTATTATGTTACAGAGAATTATAAAAAAAATAGCTTTAGAATTTGACAAAGGAGAGCTTCCTGAATCTCTCCCAGTTCAGTGCTGGATTTAGCTAAACCTCCTCAAAGGAGGAGCTGCTCCAACCATAATAGAAGAAGCTGTGGATTGTGAGCCACAACCTGTAAGTATTTTCATTTGTTAATATTGATTTATTAAGTCCATAGTGTCTAGCATTAACGGTATGTTGTAGCAAGGATGTAAACAACAGGAAATGCTATTTGTTACTGCTAACAAATTTAGCTACAGACTCGTATTTATCCATCAAATCACTGTAAACACCCAGTCTTCAGCAGCGTTGCATTGTCTCGGCTACTCTGACTGAAATTTGAGTCAGTTTCATGTTAGCTGAGTAGCAGTATAAGTAGGATATATGAAAAAAAATAATGTGATTTATTTGTTTATTTTTTATTTTTTCAAATGAAGCATGAGCACACATTGCTTTGCATCCCATGAACACAAGCAAGCTTTAAAATACACTCTGGACCACCTCTTTAAAATTCTTGAAATATTTTAATTCCACTTTTTTTTTTGGTAGATTTAGATTTGTAATTATTTATTTTCAATTAAAAAGGACTTCTCACTAAAAAGGTCTTTGGGGAAAATATTCTCTATGGCATCACTGTGAAAAAAAACCTTATTGGTTCTTCCTGGCATCTTTATTATAAGAGTGCTTTTAAAGCTTATGGTTCTTGAGTTGTCGGCCATTTTATTGTTTTCAACTAGTTCGGACTATTTTGCAAACCTTCCTAAAAACTGCCAGTACTTAGCTATTTTGTTAAACTACTAGCAGCAAAAATTTCACGCCTTCAGTGCCTGCATGGTCTTCCTGTGAAGTGATTTCACTAAGTGCAAATCTCAGAGGTTTTGGGAAGATGTGTGATGTTGTCAGCTGAGTCACTGAGCATGTGGTTCTCTCTAATAATCTGAAACTACTTCACTTAGAAAGTGTCAGACTGTGACATTACGTGGCCGTGAACAGAAGTGGGCGGGGCTTCAACATTTTATAATGCAGGTTTCTAGTCATGACATTGCAAATGTTAGTACTCTTTGCATTATCACAAGTTGAAATGAATCAGATAGCAGAACATTACCCATTAGGAAATAAGCCTTTTAAAACATTTCAGCTTATCCTTGCCAAACAATGAATAGACTGACATGGCTTAATGTCAAATCAAGTAAATTCTTTCTATATTGCTTTATATCAGAGATGTCTGAAACAGGGCATGTGGTTAAAACTGTATGAATCATTGTGAATGATCATCTGCTCTGTTTTTCAGCTCAGCGTCAGAGGATCTCGGATGCAGGAGAGGAGAATTCAGCCGGAAACACTATGGATCAGTTGAACTGGTGAGGATTGTCATATTTTAGCTGCTCTGTATATTTTGATGTGTTCCGACGCCTCCTCATTCTCCATTTCTCGTCTATTTCTCTCCACCTTTGTGCTTTTGTGATAGGAGTCGTTTGTGGCTGTTTGATTTGATGTCAGCATTTGGTTCAGTCTGTTATATCAAATTGAATTGTAATGAAAGTGCCCTCGAGATGAAGCTCACTTAAATATTGTCTTATTTTAGCAAGAGCTTAATTAAATACACACAAGCAAAGCATCGTTCAAATGATTCACAAGGTTGTGCCTGGTCAAACATGCATGTTGGTTTGAGTGGGTGAGGGTGTGTTTCTTTCAGCGTTGTCTGTCTCTCCCAGATAGTTGTTGCATGGAGGAAGTGGCTTAATACCACACTAGATGCTACTTCCTATGTGAAAGGCGCAGAAGGTTTGTGGGCAGAACAAAATGGGTGACCTTGTGACAGATAGAACCATGTCATAAAACCACATGCATTATCATACACGACAGATGGAGAATATAAATGTGTGCATGACTGCATGTGTGTGCATGAAATTAACAAAAGAAGAAGGACATTTGCTGCTGTACAGTATGTGTCTTTGTGCATATACTGGCATCTAGATATTTGAAAGCTATATAAAGAATTTTTCTTTATTACAATTATACTTTGTTGTTTTGAAAGTTTAAATGAATGAATATCAGAATGTCTTTAATTTTAAATATATATACACACTCATTTTAGAATTCCTGGTACATTTGAGGTATTTTGCATTCATTTTACTTAAACCAGGAATGATACATAACAAATGTATGCTTCACAGTAAAATGAATTCTTTATTAATGTGTAATAATGCAAAATGCTTAACTGTGGTAGGGACATTTGATGCTACTAATTGTTGTTTAACTTATTGAGAATAAAAGAGTTGACTATAACAGTGTATATTTTCCAACTTTTTGTGCTTTAGCTCAAGATGCTAAGCTTAAATCAGATACTGCATGGCGTATCAACAACAGAATTGTATGCACACTCACTGGCCACTTTATTAGGTACACCTTCAGGCTGGTTTATACTTCTGTGTTGAGCGATCGATGTGACCCACGGCGCCTGCCTTGCGCATAGCTCTGCATTTAGACTTCTGCGTGCTGTTTGTGTTGCTCTACAATAACACACCCGAAACCCTAGCTGGCAGGAAGTTATGTTATGTTTTTGTGTTGAGTTTCTTTTTCTTTTATACTTGTCGCAGAAGTATAAATCAGCCTTTACTAGTGCTGGGTTGTACCCACTTTTGCCTTCAGAATGGCCTTTATCCTTCGTGGCATAATTTCAACAAGGTACTGGAAATATTCCTCAGAGATTTTAGTCAATATTGACATGGTAGCATCACGCGGTTGCTGCAGATTTGTCGGCTGCACATTCATGATGCAAATCACCACCACATCCCAAAGGTGCTCTATTGGATTGAGATCTGGTGACTGTGGAGGCCATTTGAGTGCAGTGAACTCATTGTCATGTTCAAGAAACAAGTCTGAGATGATTTGAGCTGCCTGACATGGCGCGTTATCCTGCTGGAAGTAGCCATTAGTAAATGGGTACACTGTGGTCATTAAGTGATGGACATGGTCAACAACAATACTCAGGTGGATTGTGGGAAGACACGATGGTCAAGTGGTACTAATGGGCCCAAAGTGTGCCAAGAAAATATCCCCCACACCATTACACCACCACCAGCCTGAACTGTTAATATAAGGAAGGATGTATCCATGATTTCACATTGTTGATGCCAAATTCTGACCCTACCATCTGAATGTCGCAGCAGAAATGGAGACTCATCAGACCAGGCAACGTTTTTACAATCTTCTATTGTCCAATTTTGGTGAGCCTGTGTAATTTGTAGTCTCAGTTTTCTGTTCTTAGCTGACAGGAGTGGCACTTAGTGTGGTCTTCTGCTGCTGTATCTCATCCACCTCAATGTCGGAGGTGTTGTGCGCTCAGAGATGCTCTTCTGCATTCCTCGGTTGTAACGAGTGCTTATTTGAGTTACTGTTGCCTGTATATCAACTCGAACCAATCTGGTCATTTTCCTCTGACCTCTGGCATTAACAAGGTATTTGTGCCCACAGAACTGCAGCTCACTGGATATTTTTTTTTTCTGACCATTCTCTGTAAACCCTAGAGATGGCTGTGCGTGAAAATCCAAGTAGATCAGCAATCTGAAATACCCAAACCAGCCCGTCTGACACCAACAAAAAAAGCCACGTTTATTCATTCATTCATTTTCTTTTCAGTTTAGTCCCTTTATTAATCTGGGGTTGCCAAAGCAGAATGAAACGCAAACTTATTTAGCGTATAATTTATGCAGTGGATGCCCTTTCTAGCTGCAACCGATCACTAAGAAACATCCACACACACTCAATCACACAAATACACTATGGACAGTTAAGCCTACCCAATTCACCTTATACATAGAAAAAGATGTCTATATACTGTGAATATGTGATTCTGATTCAGCACTCAAATATTTCTACATAATAACCATTTTCCAAGGCAACATAGTATCTCTACTTTGTCATTGTGTTCTGTTTCTCCACACTTTCTACAAGGCAACAAAACAGAAACTGTTCTCTCAAATCAATAGTTCATGTCCATGTGGTGGTGTTTTTTCGCAACGAATCTACATAATTATTCAGAAAGTCATTATTGCAAAAATAAACATGTTGAGGTGGCTCCTGTATACCCCAAGCTGTCTTTTCACATAATAATGTAATATAAACTCAAATCAATATTTCATAGTCATCCGTTTATCTATTAAGTAGCTGTGTAATATGTTTCACATCAGTGTCCTCTTCTCTCTGTTGGAGTTCATTTTGTAGTAATGACAATTTCATTGCACATTACCTCTTTCCTACATCCTCTGTAAATGTAAAATAACATTTTCATTAAAAAAATAACGTTCAACACACTTTTGTTTTGTGATGTTCTCATTTTTCATATTATTTATTCTTACATTTGTTTGTTTTCCTTTGCTTTACCACACTCATTAGGGATGTCCCGATCAGGTTTTTTGCCCTTGAGTCAGAGTCATTTGATTTCGACCTATACCAAAACCCTATTCGATACTTAATATATAAAAACAAACAGATCCAGGGTGTTATTTTTCTTATTTCTTATTTATTTTACCTTATTTTAAGATTCAACAATTCTGTCAAGTAATAAATCAAATACATTTTTCACTTTTGGACTTTAGTGCAACAGTAGGTATAAAAATAAATCTAATATAAAAACAAATAGCACCTCAACTTAAAATACCCAGCAGACAATCCCAAGTTTACATATCTCACAGTTTTCTATGGCAATATTGTAATCATTGACTTTATAATAGCCTCCAGCCTACAGACATACTCGTGTTTTCCTCTTTAAGCTACTTCCGTGTTCTACTTTGCCGGCATTTAACCAATAGTGTCTGCAAAAAAGTGTTGTCATGCCGCAAGCTTTGCTGTTTCTGTGTGAAGTCAAGAATGAGGTATAAATCTGTGCCACTGCAGAACTATAGATGTGTTAAAAAATATTGAGAATATATACACATCCTACCTTATACCTGATCAGGAGGTAACATCTGATTTAGATCGAGTCTGAAGCCGCGTGATTGGCTTGATTTCCGATCACGTGATCAGATCTGGACATCCCTGACACTTACCATGCTCTTTTGAACAGATTTATAAAAAATTAATAATGCTTTAATTTTTTCTTTAATGATTTCTGTGAATAAGGGGGCAGTTCACCAAAAAAATACCACATCATTTACTCTCCTTCATATGTTTCTAAATTTTTATGATATTTTCTTCTGTTGAACACAAAAGAAGATATTTCGAAGAATGCTGGGATTCATAATAGGAAAAATAATTGTTATGGAATTCAATGGGTCCCAGCAACCAGCATTTTTCAAAATACCTTCTTTTGTGTTCAACAGAAGATAGAATCTCAAATAGGACTTGAATAAGTGAAGAATGAGTAAATGGTGAGGGTATTTTCATTTTTGGGTGAACCATCTCTTTAATTATGTTCATTTTTCCTGAATGTATGGATGAGTTCACACTTGGCAAGTTTGTATTGATAAAAATGAATTTGATTGCTCTGTTGGTGCATTTGATAAGTACTGTATGAAGATGATTTTTATAAATATTTTCTGCTCCAAACAAATGGCTAAAACAGGTCTTTGTCTGCTTTCAAGCAATCCTGATGAACTGTGGTTCACTTGAAATATGAACTCTGCATAGAATATAAAAGCTAGACTAAATTTCAAGTGTAAACACACCCAAAATGATCAATCACTGTAAGTTGCATATGTGTTTCGCGTTCAAAATTGCAAACATGATGGGAGGTATGCTAGTATTGACTGCCTTATTGACTCTAAATGGCAATGTGCATGGTTAGAAGGACACCTTTTATGACTGGCTGCAACCTGAGAACCAAATAAATAAGACATGTAAATGCACTAGATGTTTTAGAAGTAGTTTCCACATGCATGGCCGAGCTATATCTTTGACTCTGTCTATATAAGTGCATTAGCTCTGGGGATCCTCTTATAGGTGATTTTATGACCTCTAAGTGCAAAGTGTGTAAGTGCTGAAGAATGTAATGCGTGTGTCTATGTGAGGTTTTTGAGTTAAAAGCTTCCCAAGTGCTCCATCCTCTCATTACTGAGTGGTGGCCTAATGTAAACATTACTGTTGGCTAAACGCTATTATATGCCGATCAACCATTTTAGAGGTGGCTAGACATGCTCTAGATACTGACTCCACAACCTATAATCATAGCAAACTCACCGAGACATAAGATGTGATCACATATTCACAGCTGATGCAATATTCTTGCTGGAAATCAGAATAAGTGATTTATTTTCCATTGTTGACATGCTGAGTGAAATATGATTGTGTATAGTATGAAGAATGTCTGAATAAAATACATTAGGCATGTTAAATTTGAATCCACTACTACTACCAATAC